CGTGGTAGCACATGCCTGTAATTCCAGCTACTCAGAAGCTGAGGTGGAAGGCTCGCCGGAGCCCAGCAGGCGAGGCTGGGCGACCGAGTGAGACTCCAACTCAAAAAAAAAAAAAAAGAGTGAGACTCCAACTCAAAAACAAACAAACCTTAACTTTGTTTCTTAGAGTCTTTCTAAAATCTTTCTGGCATTCTGAAGTAGGATTCATGATGATGCCAACTGATTTTAGGGACACTACCTCCTCTGGCAGTATCTCGGGTTGTGTCCCTCAACATATCCCCAGACTGCTGTGCGGTATCTCTTGTGCCTGGCTTTCGTGGTGGCCTCATCCCTCCTGCCAGGCCACTAGCCTCTGATTACCATTTGCGGGTGTCAGAACTGCTTCTGAAGAGGGACTGATGGGTTACCCTTGGGTTGAGAGGATTATGAAGGAATTCCGGGGGTTTTCCCACTTTATATTTTGATCTTTTGTAATGAGCACATTTTACTTTTCTAATAAAAAATGGCCAAAAACTGCTGCTGCCCCATGCACCTCCCTTGGTCCCGATGGCACTGAGACCTACCGTGAACGTCATCTCCCTAATACACTGACCCTCCTCGTTTGTCTTTGCAGCCAGACCGTCGCTGGGCTGGCAGCCAGTAGGTGTGTGCTCATGGACCCAGGTGCCTGTTGTCCAGAGCCAGCGGCTGGCTAGGAACCTGGCGGGGCTGGCGTCTGCAAGGCTGTTGGGCCCCTAGAAAAGCATTTGGCCACACTGCCACCAAGGTCTAAAACAAATCCTAAGACCAGTGACCTGAGGGTCATTTCGGGGCCGCCCACCCCACCTGGGCCCCACCCTCACCTGCTTCCAAGGGGCTGGGGTGTCCAGCAGCAGAGGACATCCCCTGCTGGCCATCCCGAGCCAGCACATGAGCTCAACCTCCTGGGACTCGGCCTGCAGTCCCAGCTGCACTCTGAGCAGCGCTGTCTGCTGCTGGGCCCAGTGGGTTGGCCGGAAGTGCCTGAGCCTAGCCTGCTGGTGCTGGGTGATGATAGCTTGCTGGACGCCACGGTGGGCCACTGGCTGGGCCTGGGCCGGGAGGACCCTGCAGGAGAGAAAGGAGGCCACCCTCAGGTCCTGTACTGGCCATCTCTGCAGGGCGCCCTCCCCTGGAGCTGAAGGACGAGGCCTCCAGGCAGAGTCCATGCCTGCGCCTACCCTCATCCTTCTGGAGAGTCGGGCTAAAATAGGCATGGAGGGTGGCCCGGAAGGAGCAGAATGCCACACAGCAGGACAAGCATCCTGTTCAGGGGGCAGAGAGGACACCCTGCCAGCTCTACTCTGCCTCTCCTTCTGTCACAAGGATGCCAGTTTGTGACACACTTGCTGAGTGCTGTGTGGCTGCAAGGCAGGGCTGTGAGCAATGGCCCCAAGGAGGGGTCACACAGAATGTAGAGGGGCTGGGATGTAACCCCAGGACTAGCTTCAACGGCCAGGACGGCCTTCCCCTCTGCCCTTCCATCCCTGCCACAAACAGGCTCAGGCCTGACTGGGAGCACGGTGGGGGCTGTCTCAGGCCATGGGCACTCATGAGCGCCAGCTTCCAGACAGCGTGGGCTTGGCTGGCCTAGCCAAGGTGGGACGCGATCACCCCCAGAGTCCAGCACAGAGCTGTCTGGGCCTGAGCTCTCCCTCCTGCCAGCTGCTGGGCTTCACGGCACCCACCCAGGGCCACTCACCAGGCTGTGAAGGCCTGCTGGGCCTGGGCCCTCCTCAGCTGCTCGTCTGCCCGGCCCCGCTGCACGCGGCTTCTCCAGCAGGCCAGGGAGGCCTGGGCCACACACTGCTCCTGTGCCACGGCTGCCCCCAGGACCCTTCTCCTCGGGCCATCCTGGAAGGCTTGGCACTGGGGCTGGATCGCCCCCATGACTCTCACAACCCCACAGCAGGCCTGGAAGTCACTGCAAAGCAACCATAGGAGGGCAGGGCTGGCTCTCAGAGTCAAAATCACGATCACTCAAGGTTATACCTGCAAATCCCCACCAAGTGCTGACCAACAAGTAATGGGAGAAAGGGGGCTCGGCACTTACAGACTCCCCCGCTTTGAGCCTCAAGATCTGGGGGACTGCCCTGGGAGGGGGCAGAAATGGGAAGTTTTGGGTTCAAGTCCTGCCCAGGTGGCCAATGAGGTAGAGGAACACAATCCCCCACTCCCTGACGGCCAGGAGAATGTCTACGCAGTTCTGGTGCAAAAGCACAGACTATGCCAAGGCTTCACTGCCCGTGGGAACACTGGGAACTGGCGGGGTGTGCCGCCCTGTGGAGGAAGCATCTGTGCCTCTGCTTAGCTTTAACTGTGCACGCGTGGCCTGTGTGCGTGTTCTCCTGGCACACCTCCGCTCAAGTAGGGCTTTCCCCCTCCCCTTGGCAGTGGCACACAGAACCTTCCTGTGCCGTGACTCCAACACAGAACATCAGATGGGTGCCAAGGAGTGGACTTCCCATCAGAATTGTGTCCTCTGGAACCAAAGGGCTGAGCTGGCCAGGAGCTGGACTCCTGGGGCTTGTCAGGGCCATAGGTTGGGCGTGGCGTTTGACATGACCCCAAACAGATGAGGTGTTGGTGGTCACAGATTCCCGTCTCCGGGCTGGGGTTCCCCTTCCCGACCGCTCCTTTCCCGGGCCCTGGGCCTCCAGCCTGGGCCGCCGTCTGAGCTTCCTGCCCACTCCAGGACTCTCTCCTTGCTATTTGAAACGAGGATGGCCAACACCCCCCTCCCCCACCGGCCCACCCACCTCTGCTGTAGCTGTTGCCCCGGCTGAGCTGTGTGTCTCCAACGAGCGGCCGCCTGCCGCCAGCCCCAGAACACGGCCCTCCGCAGGCCCCAGATGCGGACCTGCAGCCACCGCTGGTAGCTTTCTCGCAGGCACTGCTGCCCTGGGGCCAGAGAGACAGCGAAGTACCACTGGGTGCTCATCCCGGCCTCTCCCCTGGGCCCAGGTGACGTGGGCTCTGCTCAGCCAGCCCCACGTCCCCCACCATGTGGGAACAGAGGAAGCCGCCCCTACCATCTGGGTGAGAACACTTCCCTTGCAGGTGTCCTCCTGGTGACCAGGCCAACCCAGCTCGCAGAGTTGTTGGTTTGGTTTTGTTTTGTCTTTTAATTTCTTCATACTGTTTAGCAATCCGGAGGATTCAGCTAAAAATCTAGGATTTCTGTTTTTTTGTAAAAGCTAGATCTGGCAACACTGGCCCAGCATTTCTGCTGGTCAACACTTGGGCTGGAGAAGCAGCTTCCACAGTGGCAGGACACAGCTTTCCAGAATAATCAGGCCCTGCCCGCCAGCCTATTAACTTGACATGCTGGTGTAGTGGGCCACCTCTAAACAGACCCCCACCTCCCGGTGTTCATGCCCTGTGCAATTTCCCTGCCCCTTGAGTGTGGGCTGGATTCATTGACTTGCTTCTAACAAAGAGAATTCGGCAGAAGCAATGGGATGTCACTTGTAGAATTAGGCTGTAAAAGATCTTCATCTTCTGGCCTGGGAGCATCCAGATCATTCCTTCTAGATCATTCAACTTGGGGGAAACCAGCTGCCACTCATGAGGGGCCCCCAGGGAGAGGCCCACAGGACTGAGCATGGAGGGGATGCCTCCCTCCCCACCGAGCCTTCAGAGGAGACCACATCCCTGGCCCACAACTTGATTGCAGCCTCATGGGAGACCTTGAGACAGAGCACACAGCTAAGCCCTACCTGGACTCTTGACTCAGAAACACATGATAAACCACGTTGGGTAATTTTCTACATGGCAATAGACAACCAACACAATTGATCACCGGCCGGGCTCGGTGGCTCAGCCTGTAATCCCAGCACTTTGTGAGGCTGATGCAAGTGGATCGCCTGAGCCCGCGGGTTCGAGACCCACCCAGGCAACTTGGCAAGATCTTGTCTCCACAATAAATCAAAAAATTAGCTGGGCGTGGTAGCACGCGCCTGTGTTTCTGGCTACTTGGAAGGCTGAGGCGGAGGGATCGCCAGAGCCCAGCAAGTCGAGGCTGCGGTGGCCGGGAGCGTCCACTGCACTCCAGTCTGGGCGAGAGGGTGAGACTCCAACTCAAAAAAAACAAACAAAAAAACCCCCATAATTGATCAGAAAGTCCCCTCAAGCCATGACCTTGACTTAGCAAGGTTCAAAGTGACATTCAAAGAAAACAGTTCTTTCTTCTTGCGCGGAGGCCAGGACCCTAGAGCAAGCTGTCCTAGAACCATCTCTCCTCCCATTGCTGGCTGCATTCTTCAGCTTCTAACAAGCTGTGGCCTCGGCCAGCTCATCACATCTAGTTCTTCCACCTCCTGCTTTGGCCTTTTGCTGTTCCCTCAACCTCAGCCTTTCTCTCCACGCTCACCCGCGGAGCCACCCTCGTCGACTCCTCCTGGCACCCTCCCCAACGCTGCTGGGTTCTAAGGGCACCTTGACTCTGTCTGCTCCCTCCAAACTCAGAGCTCAGACCCATGACTCCTGGACCCCAGGCGAGGATGACAAGGCTGAAGATGAAGGTGATGATGGTGATGGTGATGGCGATGCCTGCCAGGGTTCAGGACCTGGCACCGCACGAGGCTTGTCTCCCAGGACTCCTCAATCACCCTATAAGGCAGGTCTTACGTCGTCCCCATTTCACAGATGATTAAGTTGAGACTCGAAGGTTAAGAGGCTTGCTTAAAGGCCAGGCTCAGTGGCTCAGCCTGTAATCCTAGCACTTTGGGAGGCTGAGGCAAGTGGATTGCCTGAGCCCGCGGGTTCGAGACCAGCCCG